ATGGGTATGAAAGACAGTCTTTGGCCAGTGGATCATGTCAATATGCACAGGTTGATTCCCATAATCAATATCGCACATAAACGCGGGTCTAGCAGGTACATTAAGTATTCGAGATGGGTGACAACGCCTGGATTTGAGTGTAAGGGGCCGTCGTTATGTCATTGGATTAGGCTACCGTACATAGACGAGGCCCAGTAATCAGCGCCGTACGCAGACACGGAACCAGCAGTTACGATACGTAGTCGAGGCGAGTGACAGCGTCTACCGTTTTCATGACGACAGCTTCATGGCGGTCACCGCCTATGTAGCGTCGTATTCGTAATAGAAACGATACCTGTAGCCTTCTCATGACGCCGTCTAGTCTACAGCATAGCCGCGCATGCATGAGTAAGGGACCATCAACGGAGATGGCCCTCGCGACGCCACTCCATCGTTCATGCTGTTGTCCAACAATGCTGTACTTGATGGAAGCTGAAATCCACCAAAAAACGTGTCGTGACCAGGTATGTCAAACAAAATATTTTTTTCGGCTGATGCTTATACCACAAACCTACCAAGAATTTATCGTTCTTACCCTACAAACTGCACTTGTGCAATAAATATCTCGGTCTCGAATATACAGTTATACATCGTCGTTGCATGACGCCTTAAGTATCACCAATTTGTGTAAACAACGCTGGCATCACATGCATGTAGGAATATGTGAGGCTCCAGGGATTGCATTTCAACAAACGTGACACCTTAGGCAAAGACAGAATGAAAGTGGAACAAAACACAAAAACGCTGTTGCAGTGAATATCAACCAAAGTTAGCTTGCACTTGTTATCAAGATTCTACGATAACCTTTGCGAACCCCTCACAGGTCACAAAAATCAAAAATCGAAAGGCTGTGGTAATAGTGATATTTTTTCGTTTATAATTGCATTTATTAAACCTGAGGAGTGCAAGGCAACCAAATATCAACCACCGATCTTCCCGGGTGAAATTTGCATCAGATATTCGGTAAATTTTCTTCCTTTCTGAGGAACAACGAAGAAGGCCAAAATATGCGAAAGTGCGGTTTCGTGTTTTACGTTGCGTTAACCGGTAAGAAAATGCGAATCCCTGATAGTCCGCGACCTTGAAAATTTGCTCACCTAAACAAGGTGCTACGAGCAACAGGTCGCCGGAAGATACAAATAGATTGGACTTACTCTCCGTTAAAGTCACAACTTCGAACATCCTATAGTTTCGACGAAAACAACTTTGGTGTGCGAACAGCCCGCGGTCTATCACACTGGCATGAATGGTGAATTACCCAGTGCAATTTTGGTACTCTTGAGAAACTGATAGTGAATAATAAACGGGGAGCTAGTCCAGGATCCTCATGATATCTGTGAAACCAAGGCCACGAGGGAGTTTGTGGAGAACGAAACATGTGAACGATCGTGTTCAGCTGCTCCCTGTTTGCACAGAAACAGTCGAAATATTCATATTTCATCTAAAGGTGTGAAAACGCACAGAAACAAATCCTTATTCTTCTTGGACCAGACTTCCAAAATCCGTGCAGATTTGGCGCCAAAACGAGTTCAGTAATTCCCGTGTTAGTGTAGTGGTTTGGCCACCAAATAATTTATTTATCCTGGAGCAGGTAGAAAAAACTAATTAATAACGCCAGATTGAGTACATAATAATAAAGATTTCCGGTGGAACGGACTCACTAATAAATATTCTCTATTTTCGTCGTTGGCCTTGATCAACGAATAAAAAGAAATTCAATCATGGTTGTTCAGGGGCTTCTTCTGAACGGTTCCCACACTCAGTAGCTTCCGGAGATAGTCTGAAATGTTTTGATACCTGAGTTAGCACATGAAAAACACCTGTGGCCGCTGTAATCGAGAGCGAAATCAGAAGACAGAGTCAAGGCACGTGACCACTTTTGTATTGCATGAAATTATGCGATGGTGCGTTGTATTAGTTTTTTGTATTCAAACAAAAAAACGATTGCGCAATTGACGAAACACGTAATGATATAATGGAAGCAAAATAAAGGTACAAAACACCACAGCAGCAACATCTCTTGAAGAAAGCCCGTTTCTGTGTGCACAGACGGAATATGAATCAAAGATTCAATAGTCTTCCTTTGACTGCTTTGAATTGCATCTGTTGCTGTGTAACGATGCTTGGTGGTGTTCTGCTGAAATGGATATTGGGGGTTCGAACTGTCTTCAGTTTGTTTGGATTTGCTGCGCCCACTGTGGTAAGCACGACAGCTTGTGAAAGTCATTTAACGAATGAAGGAAGGTACTGTATTTATAGGGTCATCACAGAATGGTTTACAAGGTCACGCTAGAATCTTCGTGGAATGGCGAAGAAAGCTTAGCTATAAATGCTCGATCCTGATTGGCTGACATTTCGACCAGTCAGGACATTTCCTCGCTAGGTCTCCGTCGCGCTGGTGGAACACTCGTCCAACCGACATGCTGCTCAATCATTGAGACGGACTGTTCTTCGAACAGCGCTGGTTTTCGAAGAATAGAGGCGCGTATGTTTTTTGATGAGCTAATCAAAGTCATCCTATCTTTTGCCATGTGTTTTGCACCCACAAATTTTAAGATCAGGTTTTGCGGCACGTATATGTGCCGTACGTTTACGTGTCATTATCATTATCAGCTGTAATAACCGCCTACTCGTCGTATAGTGGTTGTAACTGTCACAGTTTCGTTCACCGATGCTTTGGGGGGGGGGGAAGCAAGGAGGTGCGCATTGCAGGGGG